ATATACGGGCACTCAGCTGCCCTGAGAGAGTTAGAGCCACTCAAACGGAAGCACTTGAAATGCTGAAGAAGCAGTATTCCAAAGTTTTGCTGCTGCTGTATCAAGTCTACAGTTACCTCCCCGATTGCATCATTTTCCATATCCATCGCCGACCAACGTGACGTTGACTGCTGAAAACGTCAAGGCAAAACTGATGGCTTTGCTAAAAAATGTGACCCCGGGTACGGACAACATACACCCGAAATCTCTTATCTTTTTGGCGAATCACATATCCAAACCACTAGCCATTCTATTTCAACGAACGTGCGACCAAACAAAACTCCCCTAATCTAGGAAACAAGGAGTTGTTTCACCCATAAATAAGGGCGGTTGTCGTAGTGACCCCACTAACGACTGATCTTTAACTCTCCTTCCGGTGTCATAGAAAGTCATGGAGTCACTTGTGGCAGATTCTCTGATGTAACACTTAGAAAGATACAACATTCTTCGTTTTTTCAGGGGAAAACAATTTAATTGTGTTAATATTCATTGGGCATAAGAAAAGCATGAACTTGTGAGTAATGTCCATAATAGAACTTTGAATTTAACTTTGACTTTGACTGGTACACATAAATCGAAACAACACAATTTTTGTCTTTCTGTCTAGGGGCCATCGTGATGAAATAAATCAATCGATCATTGTCGCCCGGATTATTGAAGAGCTAACATTTGCACTACATTTAGGGTACGCCTCAAGAGATACGCTTTAAGGTTAACTTCGACGAATAAAAATGATTGAAAAGAAATATTTCTCAAAATTGATGCCACAAACAAATCTCGAGTCACGGTATATGATAGCAACAACCAGACTGCAGTGATACAAGAAGACGAACAGCACGACCAAATTCAAAGGCTTCGCCAGTCGGGAAAAAAGTCTACTGTGTGTGTGTGTGTAAATTTTCATTGGACTCGCTAATTTACTCGTAACTGATATATGTTTCTTTTCGGGCGCTAAGTTTGGTTTACGAATTTTCGTGTGCGGAATTTGCAACCCCACCAATTGCCTACCTAATTAAAATGCGCCTTGCTATGTATGCTTGGTGCAAAAATCAACAATTCGCACATGTGACTGAGTGAATTGGGTGTATAGAGGCGTGCAAAATCTTGAATTTCGGCTCCGTGCGATTACAAAAAAAAAATAAATTCAGTCACCCTGTCGTGGTATCCACACTGTTTCACTGGTTTATAATTTCAGTGGGTTTATTGTTGCACCATATCGCGGTACACACGTTTCGCGGAGCGCAAGGAAGATTGGAAGCCCTTTGAAGTGAATAACAGATGATTCATCAAACAAAGCTCCAATACTGCTGATTTTTTAAGGAGGGAATTTGTCGAGCAAATCAGTATCTGAAGGAAGCACTGTACAGCTGTTTCGACCTGGTTGGGTCTCATCAGCTAATGTTTTTTGCTTCAATGAAGGTATTCTAGAACCGATGATTGAGGGGCGGCTACAGCATTTACGGGGTTAAAATGATTACTCAATCGTCTCCCAGTAAATTGTTCATGAAGAGCTCTAGTAAGAGCGAAACTCGTGTACATTGCTGACCTAGATCCTGGTTAACTGTGTGCCAAGGAATATGGAGGAGGGTGAATCAAGGAATGAGTGAAACGTGTCCCTCACTGAAACGAACCAGTAACAGAGAGTCAGACTACTAGATGAAAACTAGCCTATCAGCTTCAGTTGGAGGCATGAACCCAACCATCTCGAATGAAGAGACATTTGATTGGGTAGGAGGCTTTCGATCGCAGTCATTGACACATAGTCCGCACTATATTCGAGTTCCTATCTGTTTGGTTTAGGCAGAACTGACTAATTGCCACTGATAGCCCGGTGATGACGTCACCAAATTATCACCCCCGGGGGATGTGTATTCAAATTCCGCACAGATGTCAGTCTGCATAAAGCTGGAGTATCACTATGTATCTACAATTGGCACTGACCACTGATATCTTTCAGTAATGGATTCTGTGTGCAAAGGTAACGTATTTAATTGTTGTCGTGTGTTATCCACTGCAATGGGTGAAGTAGTTCATCCGTATTGGACAGGATGAGCGGTTTACCTAAACGAGCATTCTTTTTTTATCGAAATGTAATACGGGAGACGTCTCTAGCACCACCTGAGTTTTGTTCTCTTCCAGCGGATCCCTCAAATCAGAGTAAATCACAAGTTAACATGCATTGTGTGCCGGTTACTAGTCGCTCCTCAGGAGCTCATTTGGTAGACGTGTTTATCTGTTTATTACCGTTAGTTAGACAGAATGCCTTTCCCACTGGTTTCGGAGCAGAAATTAGAACAAATCGTTCCTCTAAGCATTAGCAGCCTTCACATGTCGCACACATTAGCACAGTGTTGGTTATGTCTCGGTTAGTCTTGAATCGATTCAACCACCACTCAATGGTTGTTTGTTGAGGTGTGGTTGCTGATAATAGCCTCCTGGAGAGTGGGTCGCATAATGTAGATAACGATCCATACAGTTTAAAACAGTCTGCTGCTATTAGAGTACAATTACCACCTATGGAGGACGAGTAGTTTTTTCTCCTCGAATTCACAATAGATGTAGCTCCCTACTCATAAGTCATTTTTAGACTAATTGAATTTAGAAACCAATTGACCGGTTGTGAAAGATGGCAGGCACAAGTGTTGACATAAGAGTCACGTGTCACACGTTAAATGCATTGAGAAATGGATGCACTTATATGTACAGTTTGAGTGTTATCACAAATTCTCCGTCATCATGATCAACATCAACGACAACAATAACAACGGGGACACGCGACGAATAAAACGAAAAAGAAAAGTGAAGACGAGTCGAATCGGGCGCGAAATCCGTGAATCCAGACTGAGTTGTGCAAAAGGGTTCGCGTCCAAATCCGGTTCGAAGTGAAACACACACGCACATCGAGCCGCGGATGATTCAAACTAACGCGGTACATTAAATTATGTCACACACAGACTCGAATTAGATTAGTGTTCGGTGAACGTAGTCACCCAAGTTATGAATCTTTCCGTTTCGGTCTCAACTCGATATGAATGAGGCAGATAGCACCAGTGATCAAAATGGTTCGAAGGTGTGACGCAGTCGGCGTAACGAATTCGAGCACCACATTTATTGAAGAAGCATGGACAAGGATAGCTCGGTCACGTGATGTGGGAATTTCCAAATACAAAAGTGTTGGTTTAATTTAGAAACAAACGTAAACGGCATTTTCTCTGTGATGTTCGGGAATATTCTTGGAGTTAGATGAATGAATGCGATTGACATCAAAAGAACAGACAGCAAAAAATATGGCACCTTGATTATGTCTTCCTAGTCTACTCTGTACTCGGTATCACGCTGTCAAGGTATTCGGTGAAACATATCGATGGGCAACTGATGTCGAATTTCTTGACGGAATGGCGATTGCGCATACATCGGTTGTGCTTCGGGTTCGTAGAATTCAATGTCAGAGAATAATTGTGATTCTTTGCCATCTCGATAGAGGGAATTTCGTTTCTGCTGTCCTGGGAGCGTTTTTATTGTTTTCAACGAGGTCGGTTGAAAGATCAATGTGGTGTTTGACGGGAGTGCAGCACCCCTACTCGTGGTTCGACACGGGGGTGGAGGTGATTGCATCGTGCCCGCAGTCCACGATGCGGATCCACCACTATTCCACGCGGTTGCATAGGTTAGATTGGCACGATTAATATTATTCATCTCCCCACCGGGACCGGATGTTTTCGCGGCTAACCGGTTATTCCAACCGAGCGGATGTATCTCTCGTGTCCAACCAGTTCGAGATGGTATTGGTCGGGACATTGGTGCATGGTGGATGGAACCTTCACCCGGAGCTGCACCCGTTGAACTGATATAGCCTTGAATTCGTTTGGCACGCGATATAGGTTTGTCCGAATGGGAGAATTCTACGCACTGGTTTTGATCCAGGTTGAAAGAGACCTGGTTGTTTTTTCTTTTCGGTCCTGAACAACAAAGAAGAGGAGTACATAAAACAAAAGAAATGCTATCAAGTTGTGATTTGCAAAGGAACAGAAGACAGTATTGGTCTTCGGTTGTCTGCTTAACTGCTTGCTTTCTGGGGACATAACAAACACAATCGCACAGCCTAGGGTGCTTAAACCGCAGCTCGAATAATATAATAATAATAATAATAATAATAATATTTCAAATGGTACATCCTCATTGTATGTCACGGTATTGGGTGGTGAACTGTGAGCCTCATCAATCAAACGGGACTCGATGAGCACTTCGAACTCTTTATTGGTTTAACCACAGTAATAATACTAGATCAGCAGTCTTTTAAGTGACATGATCCCGGACGTTAGAAGAAAAACAGTTTATTAGACTATGATGCTGGATTATCGGTAGACCTGCGATTTCAAAAAGTTGAACTCCATTGTCTTTGCACTAAAATTGCATTCAACTTATCTGCGGTCATACGCGATCAGTTGATTATATGCGGGAAAGAACCATACATACATGTGTGTGTATGTACGTGTGTTCGGTCATGTCTTAGTGTAAAATGCTGATGTTCCAGCCTAACTGGGTATCAAATGAGGTAGAACAGTTCGCCTGTTCCGTATTTTAAGTCTCAAACAACTGCGGTTCTTTTTCAGGGGTAAACGATCTGACTATTGCAACTGTGCTGAATCTTCTCAATAGTGGATTCTCAAAAGGATCATCTTCGGTAGTGTTTGACTTTCAGATAGGGACTTCACACGTAATAAAACAGAACACAGCTGGAGGCTTGTCGGAGTTCATTTATTATGCAAAGATCACGGCTAGGGGAATGCATACATCAAACGACTGGTTGACTGAATTGCCATCAACCACATTGATTGGTTGGCTGTTCTGGTCAATCACCTGTCGATTTTCGGATGGACTGTTCCAGAACAAAGCAGTTTTCAGGAAACATGCTGACTCAATAGCATTGACTGTCTTTAGTTTATCTTATTACGGTCCAATCCGGTGCTCTTTTGGAAACTTCATAGTGTTGAAGATGTCTCATTGACTACAAATTCTATCCCTTAATACATTGAATATTATGAGAAACAATCAAACCAAGTCACTCGCTCCATTTGCAATGTTTGAAGCCCATTATAACTGTTCTATTTGTAGAAAACATTTTCCGTTCCTTTTTGCACATTATGTTCCCCGCCCACATGGTGAAAGTATTGTGTTTAGATGAGTCTAGTTTTTGACGGGAAAGGAGTGAATACTTACATTGAGATAAAGCGGCCCCAGTTCAAGTATGACTCCAATTTCATCCACACACATGTGTTTAAAGTATTTCGTTCGAGGCTTAACTGAAAACAAAATTTATAGTTGGGCAGTGGTGTCCTGGTGGTAACGTCACTAAATTATCATCCCGGGAATGTGTGTTCGAATCCCACCACCACCGGCTGACTTTCTCCATTGTATGTTGAATGACAGTCCTTCGATTGGCCGCTTCGCCCTTCCTGAAAATTGTACCTTTGTATATTCAATAAAAAGAAGTAAAACTGAAAAGGACTAGTTGTCCCGCATAAATTGCACCGACAAAAGCGACCTCATGATTTGGATCAATACCAAATTCGAAGATTCATTTGGTACACCTAAACTGTCGCTTTACAGTAGAAGTACAATGATTCAATTATTAGTTAGATTAATGTGTATTGGAGTAAATCCCTGTAGAAGGCAATACACGGGCGGGAACGGTCTGTCTCCTCTAATGCGGAAATCCCCTCGAATGGGGAAAGGGAGGTGGGGGGTGGGTGGATAGGTGTTGTTGGCGCGAAGAATAAGCTGACAATATTGATTCTTTTTCCTCACAGACTATGGATCATATCACTCCAAGTTTTTGACACTTCGGGTGATTTAGCCTTGCTGATAAGTGTCTTACCTAACCCAACTGTGTTGACCTAGAATTTTGCCTGTTAGAGATTCCACAAATTATGCATATTCAAACTGAACTCGTTCCCGTAAATCGTGACAGTACATCACCGTATCTTAGCAGTTCCTCCCGATCATCGAAAGATGGAAAGAATGAACAACTTGGATGTGCATTTGTTGCATTCCATCACCATACAGAGCACCTGTGCGGATCAGAACTTACATACAGCAAGCTCAATTACAATTTAGATTATTTAGCTCCTGGCGACGGCACCAGTTGTTATATTTCCTCAAGTTGTTGCGCGGTTGAGAATAGTTGATTGATGACAATAACGGTCAGGGTATTGTTAAATTGTCATTCATATAACAAAATATCTCATTTGGAACAACTTTGCAGAATACTCGTACGCACACAGGATAGTTGATGGAACGATTCACTATCAGATGCGAATTTTTATATTCACCACACCGAACAGCAGTAGTTTGCCTGAACAGGTCTTGTTCACAACTGATCGTTGAAAGAAACCTCTGATTGCATCTTTTTTCGTACTACACACAATTGAGTGATATATTACAACAATATACCTGAGGGATGTATACTAATCTAAGTGAACCCTTTGGACAAGGGCAGAGTAGTGCTCATTTGAGGCCACTGGCTAAGCGGAGTAGGTTAAGCAGAAAATCGGCATTATGCGAGACACTCGATGATGAGTCTCTAGGCGGTCTGTGAACGAAGTTCCCCCCCACCTCCCACCCATGATACGTGCAATCTGATTGCGTTTTTCAACCCCGGATTTACGGAGTCATGTGAATGCCACAAGACCAACGGTTATCTGATCCATACAGACTTGAGAATAAGACAAGCAAGATCGTGAGATAATCGGGGCCATATAAATGAACATTTCGGAAGATCCAATCTTTTGTACATCTCAGTAGAAACGTGGTAGACGAGCAGTTCCAAAGGAGGGCAACCGAATGTGCCTTGTTCAACCGAATAGCAATTGCATCGACGTCGCACAAGTCCACGACGTGAACGTTTAGTGTTTATTCCCGTACATTCAAGAAAAATGACACCTACAGTATTAAAGGATGAGAATAGTTCCCTGTTTATCCGAGCATCGTATGGACCTTTGGGTCGGAAATCAGATCAAATGGAAGACCGAATAAATTAATGTGCCATCTGCAGTAATTTAAAAGGTTTCACTTTGGACCGCTACGTTTGGACGGATCAATATACTTTTTTCAGGCTGTGCCTCAGAGCACCGTCTTCAATCTCGTCTTCGAATCGCTCTGGAATGTTTTAGGTCTCGAGAAATTTGACGACGAATAGTGATTTGCGCGTTTCGAACGGAAGCTGACATTTGTATCAGAATATGTATAACTTCCCTCTCTTTACGACGCCAAACGTTTACCTAGGGGTCCATGCTTGCCTAACAGGAGACCGTCTTTATGCTTATAGCTATCATCCATACAAAAGAACATTGATTGGTTCGCGCACAGCACCAAATTGTATACCTTATCCAGGGTGTTTATGTTTTGGTTCGATGAGATCAATGCATGAAAACGAAATGGATGGCGGGAAATGCAAAATCCTAGAGGGAGAGAAAGCTCAAATAAGAACTTGTAATCCCTAGTGGAATAAAGTATATTTCGTGCCATATGCAGATGTTTATTTTCATCGCGGGCGAAGTGGGAAGGTGCTATAAAAGAAGTTCGCATTCTCCACGTACATTATCTCGGATAACCTATGGTTTGCTACGCCAACATCCCACTTCGTATTTTGGCGAATGAGGTAAGACATAGACACACACGACTCCTACATTTAGTCATTTGCAAAAGGCTTTAGGAAAATAGGTTTTAGGATCATATTAGAAGTTAACTTACGCTCGTATGAAATGATATTTTTCAGATTCTGTTCGCTACATTGCATAAGTTTGATACATCACACATGTGTATGTGTGTATATTAGTCACAATAACAGTATCAGCAACACCCGATAATTTTGAAAGGACAGCTCTTTTAGTGCCCGTCTACTGAATAATCATTGTTTTGATTTGATGTTTTGTAAGCAGATTAGATTCTACTAACTATAGACTTGGTGGAATCTAACTTATCTACAAAAAATCGAATCATAGTATTGAGTCTTTAATAGGCCTATTATATTTGCCAAATATGATCACATTTGTGGATTACCCGGGTTTAAGTTAGCCACGGAGTTGTTCTACGATATTTGTGTCGATCCGGAAACAATATTGCCACTTGTGGAGCGACGTGAGTGAGAATCGAAGATGTCTGAGGACTGCCGATTACTGCTCACGTATTCTCACACTATTTATTTAGACACGGTTCGGATATGATCCATTCGTAATCTGTGCATTCGGTATGACTTGAACACGATCAAGCCAAGTCAAGTCAAGTCAAGGAATTGCTTTGTACACCACCAAGAGGTGGATATTCATCAACCACATAACCACAGTGTGTCAACTAAAGGTAAATTAAAAGATGTGAAAACGGACAGCAATATCAGGAAGCTAATGGTATACCCAGGTGTTTGTGATTGGTTTAGTTTAGCATTTTGCGCGTATTTCCTGCAACGAGTTCAGGGTTTGTTAGAAATCTGGCGAGATAAGGGACAATGGACCGCCTGTAAGCTTCAGCGCGCGTCTTTATAAGTTTGTGAGTGGAACGGGTGGATGAGTGAGAAAGGCACTGACGCAGGGCGCAATAAAGAGGATGAGAGATATCAGATAAAATGTTGTTGGAGAATGTTATACAGCACTTGAGTTGATGTATCATCACATACTGTACTAGATGTTCCCGTGAAATGAGAGTATAAACCGACAGAAACTTGAGGGATCGCGAAATGAGTTTGAGGTCCTTGTAAAGAGACCAGGGAACATAAGAGGGGACCCATAAAGCCAGTGGGGCAAAACGTAAGGAAGAAATACACCTTATGAGATGGTTTGGGATAGAAAGTAAGTTAAGACGCAATACATAAAATGTGAGTCTCATGACCTTCAGAAATGTCATTAACATGGTGAAACTGGGTGACGGTACGGTTGAAAAAGGTTGCTTGTCAATCCACCTGGTCACTGAGGCTAGATAAAGGCGGGCTTGCATTGAATAATTCATCATACTTCTGCCCCTTTTAAAAAGAAAACATTTACGTGGGTGGTTCCTTGAATGAGAGAACACTCACCTGTTTCTGACAAGTTTTCTTCCAGAGTGGTGTGAAATGATGGGTTGGAGAAGAGCATTCCAAACATTACATCGTTTGCATACGTAACAAGAAGGGAAGAATTGCTCACTGGCAGAGAGTAAATGTAAGCAGAAATTAGAAAAGGAGATAAAATAATGCCTTGGCAGTACACCTTGTGAGCCGCGCAGCAGTGATGATGTACGATCTTTGTAGCTTGTGAACTGCTTATGGTAGAAGAAATATTTGNGTTGGGGGTTCATGCGGAGGTTCCCTTGTTGAAACCACCCAACTATTTCTGACACTTCTTCTTGTAGAGTGATTTGAAATGATGGGTTGGGGTACAACAGCCCGAATTTTATATCGTCTGACGAGAAGAGAAGAATTGCCCACAGCAGAAAATAGAAAAGGGGATTAAATGGCGCTTTTCAGTACGCCTTGTGAGGAGAACAACAGTGAGGATGTAAGACTTTTGTAGCGTGTGAACTGCTGACGGTTGGAGAAACAGTTGGCCAAGAGTTCCATCGTACAAGGTTGAACTCCGCCTGAAGAGAGGGTATTTAGCAAAATTTGTCGATCATTTGTGTTGAAAGCATCACTGTAGTCAAGAAAACATATGCGGACAGCCTTGCTTTTCTTATCCGGGTTGGATAAAAGAAAGTGGTACAGGTAAGCAAGGGCATCCAGGGTGCCGCGGGTCACCAATATTGAATTGTTTAGATAGGGTTTTAAGGAGGAGTCTTTCAAACAACTTCAAGACAACTGAGGTGCAAGTAATAGGACGAAATTTTGAGGAGCCTTTCCTCGGTACAGGGGTGATAGAGGCTGTTCCACAGCAGTCGGGTATACGTTGCTGCGAAATACAATTTATGAAAATTTCACTCAGTACAGAGGAAAGTAAGGCAGCACATTCTTTTAGGATAACGGGTGAGGCTCCGTCACGGCCGCAGGAATTGCAATGATATGATCGAGAAAACTCTTGATGGATATTGACAGGTGAAACTCTGGCGACGAGATCAGTCATGTTTATTTCATATTCATTAGGTAGAGCCGTGAGAGCGGTTCCACTGTTGATCAAACTCTGATTGAGACCATCCATGTCCACCGCAGCAGGTGCGCGGTGTGAAGATTTGATGCCAGAAATTCGCATTGCCAGGGCTCACGACTACCTTTGTTATCAAGCCGAGAACGAGCGTATAAAGAGTTTCGTCTACGAAGTTCAACCCGGATGGATTAGGAATGAGAGCGCACTTCGCTGCACTTATGCTTTTTGAAGGCGAGCTCCTATGATAGAGTTGTTTTAGGTGTGGGGACTAGGATTGATTGGGGTCGGATATAAATCGTAATTGAGTGAGAATAAAGATCATAGCAAAAGTATAACTTGTTAATTGATCGCTGAAAACTGAAGGGTTGGGATCAGAAAACAATGTACGGGCAGAGTGTCTGATCACCTCGTGAGGTTTTCTTGAAAACACTGTGATCTAGTTTCCGATCACGAGTACGAGTAAAGAGACGATGCTTCGTTCTGCTAAAGATGTTAAGGGAAAACTTGAACATGGAACATTCCCAGTGAGGGGCGGTGTTCTACAAGAAGTAATTTGGTAAGGTTAATAAAGCCAAAATCCAGATGTGCATCAAAACTGATGTGAAAGTTAACAATGTTTTGGAGACCTAATCTGCTTAAGAAACGGGTATCGGAATTAATGAAGTCACCACAAATGATGCAGACTAAAGTACCTACATATTCAATCAATGTGGTTAAAAGAGAGTCATAAAAATCACTAAGAACATTAGATGTGTAAGAGAAGGTAATATATACATTCACAAGAATGAGTGACCAAGGAAAGCTGAAATGTTTGGGTTTACATTGAATTGCTGATGCGTTTATGTAACGTGTGGAATAAGAAAACATATTTTGGGTCAGATGAAACCACTGATTTTTGATAAACGTGATGACGCCGCCACCCCGTCGGGAATAATGAACAGGATCGATACGATAGCTAGCGAATCCATCGAGGTGTATTATTTCACCCTCAATTTAGTTGTAGAGCCAACTTTCTTGGAGCATAATCACACTTAGTTTTGTATATTCCCGTAGATTATCTATGCTGGTAAAATCTGCTATATTGCTGATAAGAGATCGGACAGCTGAGAATGATGGAGACACAAACGGAAGATGGTTTATTTCCGAAGAGCAACTTTCCAACCGGCTGATGTTTCTTCGGATTTTTCGAAAGCTTCTTGACCGTCCTTTAGGTTTTATTCCTTATGGTCCTCCCAAAACAGATTGCTGCTACACATTTGGTCCATCTGATTGAATGCCTGAAATCCCGGGTTTATGTGATCAACGGTGTCATTACTATAGTCACACAACAGTCGCCTTGGCAACCAAGGTAAAAGTTGTGGTTATGCAGTGAATAATCCGATGATGGAAAAAAAACGGATAGCGCGGCTGAAATTCTAAGGCCCCGCCACTGTGTCAATAACAAGGTGACCAGTTGTCGATCTGATTGTTCTATCTCCGGATGGGCAAGTGTGCAAGTGGCGATGTTGATCAATGTTCACGTGGTACATAAAGAAAAAAATAACGTGTCTGGACGCAGAAGTAACGAAAACCAGAGATGAGGCCAGCAAAGGGGAAATAAATCACACGAAAGACGAGGAACCCATTCAAGTGAACCGATTGAAACAGAGGATCATCTTACAGAAAGCAGTCAGTACGTCACCGATGATGAGAACTTCTCACTTAATAATAAAAACATAAACGAAGCTCGTGAACCAGAAATTACAGGCGGATCTTAAATATGGTGTACGAAAGGCTTTTAAACCTACCCATTTACTAAATTTCTCGGTAATCAAACCACCTAGATTGATCAAATTTCGTACAATTATACAGCGCCTTACCAAATGGAGAAATGGAATAGATTTCCACAATGACATCTCCAGACGGATTTATCTTAGAAAATTTGCTATGCATGCATGCTATTATGATCTCACTCAGAATACTACGGTCTCAATGCAGTTCGTATGTAGTCACTTGAAGCGGTAAACTGGAAATTGTCAAGGTTAGCCTGTGCGAACTCAGAAAACACATTAAAGGCTTAAGTGCTTCGTTTTTCTGTGAACCGTGGTTCTAGAGATATCGGTAATCGATACATGTACCATAAATTCAACCGAACTTACGACTAAGTCACCTGACACCAGTGTACAAAGAATGTCAAACGTGGCGGTACAGAATGACGGAAAAAATTGTGATTAATTAAAACTAAGAAGG